TCCCAAGCACAAACCAAACACAGAGATCCTTTACTAAGCAAGGCAAAGAGACAAGGTGGCTGAATCTGGATCAGGCAGAAACAGGAGTAAACATCTTTGCAAGTGTTAGCTTTTTATCTACCCTGACATTTGCAATACACAACTTAGTTTCTTTACACCTGGATTCCCCTTTCAAGAGAGGATGGAATCCTGGTTTCCTCAAAAGCTGTCATTGCATTTACAGAGAAGCATGTTTAGCTCCTATTATGTACCAGTTGCACCTATAAGTATGGAGACACCATCTGTATGGGGCACAGAGTAAGAGTCATGACCTCGAATGGATCTCCCAAGGCAACCCAGTGGTGCATTCCCTTTAAGAAAAAAACATGATGAGGATCTAGAAAACATTATATTGAGTGAGATAACCCAGACTCAGAAAGACAAATATCATATGTACTCACTCATAAGTGGCTTTTAGACATAAAACATAGGAAAAAAAAAACAGCCTACAATTCACAATCCCAGAGAACCTAGACAACAATGAGGACCCTAAGAGTGACATACATGGATCTCATTTACATGAGAGGTAGAAAAAGACAAGATCTTCTGAGTAAATTGGGAGTGTAGAGATCATGGGAGAGGGCAGAGGGAAGGGGAGAGGAAAGGAGGGGAGGGAAGAAAAATATATAGCTCAATAAAAACAATAAATAAGAAAATGAAAAATGATGATGTCATTTTTTCCAGTCTCAGCCCTGCACGTTTATTTACATCACTTTGCATGCGGGAAAGGAAGGGTCTCCTAGGAACTAGAATATTAAGTACAAAGAAGGACCACTCTTGGGCACACATAAATTATAAAGTGGCCTTAATAAGTTTTATACTAAATAAAGGTTGCTTTTGGAATAAGGCCAAGGTTAGGGAGGCATTCAGATTTCAAATCCCATGAAAAAGTTAATATGCAGGAACGAAACCATCAGTTACAGCAACGAACTTCCCTTCCCTGCTGGTGGGCACAGGCAGAACAAGGGACTCTAAACTGTCCTTGTCCATGTTTGGGACTTGCTCTGGCAAACAGAACTCTCAGTGATGAGCATCATTTCTTCTATTCTCATCTAACAAGAGATTTAAGAAAGAGGAAACAAGAGACTTGGTCTGGGTGTCAGAAGTTGGTTCCCTTCCAGGTCACTTTGGGAAAATGAAAATTAGTCAGGAGATGTGGGGAGCTCCGTTCACAGAAACTTAGTTAGTTGCTCATTTTCTCACCTCACATCCTTCCTCTCAAAATAATTAAATCTTAATTAAGTTTGAAATTACTTCTGAGCAAGACAGATGTAGTAATTGTGGAAAGAGAGAAGCTATGCTTCAGGGACCGGGGCTCAGCAGAGGCCTTCCTTCCCCCGACACCGTGACAACATGAAACTTCAAGTCTGCAAAACCTGATGTCAGCCAAGAGCCCATAAATCCTGAAGTACAAATATTACCAGGCAAGTGTCCCCTTCCCAGAGCAGCTCCAGATCCTGTCTGCACCACAGAGGTCCAGGTGAGTACATAGAGGTAAGAGCTTCCGTCCCCTCAGCTGTGCCTTGGAGAGTTCTATTAAAGCAGAAGATTCTCTCTGACTAATCCAGGGAACAGGTGCAAGGCTCTAGGACCCCCAGGACCTCCAGTTTCCTTCTGACCCTAACAAAGCTGGTCCCTGGCTCCAGAAAGATCAAAGGAGACTAACTAGTTCCTGGAGATGCAGAGTTGGAACAGAAATGCTGAGGCATTGCTCTCCATCCTCAGGCTGGAGAATCATGACAAAGCTCTGGCTGAGTCTTTGCCTAAGGTTAGCTTCTTGCCTTTTTAAAAAGTAATCAATAAGATATAGAAAATTTTCCATAGACAATCAAAATCTTGTGACAGGAACTGGAGCTGGCTCAGTGGTTAGGAGCACTTGCTGCTCTCCCACAGAACCTGGGTTTGTCCCAGCACCTACATGGTATCTCACAACCATCTGAAACTGTAGTCCTAAGAGATCTGACGACTTCTGGCCTCCACAGGCACCAGGCATGCATGCATTGCACATACATACATGTCGATAAAACACCCATACATATAAAATGGTAAAAAAAATATTCAAAATAAAAAGCACAACTTTGAGACGAGAGGATAGTCCATCCTGTGATGTCAGCAGTAGGAAAATAAGCCAGGAAGATTATATACTTAAGGCATTTTCATATTCCAAAGTGTTTTCTTTTACAATGACTTGATAAGTCCTAAACCCATTTACGGTAAACTTGAAGGTCTTTGTTAAAGTTTCTTGACTCTGTCGCATAATATTATACATACTTCTAAGTTGATTTTACTCTTTGTATGCCTGGCAAGTGTGAAGCATAAACTATGAGAGTAACAGTTACCATTGCCATCTTGAGACTTCCTGCTGTAAAGGCTCCAGGCTGTAACTACATCCTGATACATACAGCTCATCTTCGTTTTATCCCAGTGCTAAGCAACAAGGAGCAATAATCTTATTAATTGGCATGGAAGAAATCACTAATATAACTCAGGGTTCTGGGATTACACCAGAATACAGTATTCTTTGTCTCTGTAAATAGAAATCACACCTTTTAAACTAAAACGTTCCACAAGCTAATTGAGGAGATGAGCCACCTCTACCTCCCGGTGAGTCTTCAGTTAGAAAACAGAAATCACTTTTAAGATGTCCCAAAGCTGGCTTCAAATAGGACTCAGAGCTTTAAAGTTTGGAGAGAAGAAAAGAGGGTTAGCGAGTGGGAACTTCGACAAACAGAAAACGACACATATTTTTCATTAGGACTAGAGGCAAAATGATCGCAGGGATTTTACAGATTCTAATCTCTAAGTAAATATTTCATGATTATTCTAAATGTGCTAATGAAGGTAGTTTTATGCTGGTATGCTTGCTATTGATATCTGGAGCATAGTCCAGTATTTACAGACATATAGAAGGTTATCGTGAATTCTGGGATTCAATGATACAGGAGATAACTACCCCTCTGTCAGAGGAGCAGTTGAAAGGCAATAACTGACATTTCTTAAGTCATGAGGCAATATGAACTCACAAGGTCACACGAGTCACAGGTGAGATCAGACATGATATTTAAAGCAATCCTGTGAGTTTAACAAAAGAGAGCAAGGGGAACAGAGGCATTTCAAGTACTCAGAACACAAACTCATGAAATATCGAGATTCCTCTTATTCTAGAAAAGGTGCCAAAGAAATGAGAATGGAGCTGCCAGACATGAAGAATAGCATCCTGCCGACGTCTCAGTTCTGGATCAGCTCAGACTGATGTAGAACAAAGTAGCCTGCCTGATAAACAGGTTGGAAAAGAAACGGAGAAGCAGGCTGCAGAGCTGCTGCTTACACGGCCCCACAGGGGGAAATGACACCATGGCCTCTGAGATGGGGGAATCCCTGCTCTCAGCAGTGTACACCAACATACCGTGCTATATGTAGCCATTACCGAGGACTCGTAACTCAAAAATCACTCATTTCATAGCAGCACATAATACTTCGTTAACCCCTTTCCCGTCCAGCTCATCATTATCCCCTGGTCCAGAACTATTCCAAACTCCTTTAGATGCCCTGAGGTCACTCTCTGGGTCACAGATTCCCTGAAGACATCTACTGAGATCACAGCCCTCTGCTACCCACTCTCCTAGGAAGTGCCCCAAGATACCTCTCGATGCCCTTCCCTGGTTGCAACCTGGTAGTTACATGAGTTTTTAACCCAACAGTCTTTTCCAGGATGTCTTTCAATGATTCAGCTTTAACTGTTGAACCCTATGTAGAAAAGTTATTCACTATGACTTGACATATATGACTTGGGGACTATAAATATA